AGGATGAATTTGGCCTTCAGACCAGATCTGTCACATTATTTTCTTTCTTCTAGACTTGTAGAGCTTCTGCGAAGTGCTGCAAAGTCTGAGAAGGACAAGAAATTGTCCAGTGTAGCGTTTAATTTGCTACAAGTTTCACTGAAGGAAGGTGCCTTTGAACTGTTCTGGAAAGAAGGTGTGGAGAATCAGCTGTTGAAGGAGAAATGTGGACCCGAGAGGTTTGTTTTAACATACGTTATGTGTTGTTTTCCATACTGTCCTCCTAGTTCTTGCTGCAGTCTTTCTGCTGCTGCCCTGTTGTAGGATGGAGCATATGGTTTCTCATGAACAATGTGAGAAGACTTGATTTCAATTATTTAGATATTCATGAGAAACTTTACAGGGAGCCTAAATCCAGGAGTTAGTAAGATATATGTGACATATAACAAATTTGGGGTTAAATCTAACTAGGACAGCACATAAAGGTGATTGGGCATAGAGGTGTCTTAAATCCATAGCTTGCTCCTACGAGACTTGGCAGAGGAGCTGTACTGTCCCTTTCTAGGTGATTGATAGCAAGAGTCATTCAGCTTTGTTTGTGTGGTTTATGAAGGACAGCTCCTGTGCAGACAAACCCTAGTTCTGAAATTCATGTCTAATACTGCTGGACTTGTGCTTTATGGTCTGGATTGAATTAAAATGCCTAGATATGTTTGGCTTCTGTCATGTTTTAAGTAGGATATGGCTGTGGCTGGGTTTAGGATAGTGGTAGCTATTTCCCAAGTCTAATACTGAATCTTTGTAGGATTATTTGAGTTGTCTGTTGTGACATGCTGTATAAAAATGCTGCAAAATCTGGAATACAAATCTGTGAGTATTTTAGGGGAGCACAGTTTAATTTGGACCATAGCAAGACAGTCTGTGTCCAGGTTTAAATCTTTATTAGATTGGGAGTTTAAAAGTTGTAGAGGTGCACATACAAAAAATTTCTGAAAACATTACATGAGTATCATAGTGAAAGGAAACAGGTTTCCAAGCCTGAGCAGTTTAAGTCTTGTTTTACTTGGCTTGAGTATGTCTGAAAATACCCTTTGTACGCTCAACAGTATTGCTTTTTTAGCCTGATTTTTCACAGAAATGAGGCTAGTGCTGTCAGTCTTAATAACTCTAGAGCCCATTGGGCAATTCTGACCAAATTTGGCAACAAATTGCTGTCAAAACTTAAGTAAATCTGTGTAGTCAAAAACTAAGTAAGTTTTTATTCGGCCAATGGAAATAAATGTCTGCGGAGTAGAGATCCAGGAAGTGGATTGAAGAAGGACCTGCTACAGAGAGCTTAGCAGCTATGCTAATCGGAAGAAAAGCTTTGGGCAGTAGGATTTTTAGACACAGGATCCATGAATTTTTGATTTCTGCCTTCCTGCATGCTCCATGTCGCCTGCCCCACTACTGCTGCTACCCTTGTGTGTGGCTTTACTGCTGTGCCTCCAGCTGACAAAATCTTCTTTGTTTCCACTCAGTTACATGTGCTACCGGCTGCTGGGTAGTGCTCTCCCCTTGTTGTCTCTGGATCAGCTACAGATGGTTCTCAAAGGGAAGGTGATGCAGCACTATGGAGAACATGTGGTAACAACTCAGGTACCTGAGTCTTCTGAAAGTACTCATGCTTAGGGCTAAAGACCCTGTCCTGAGCAGAAGTCCTCTCCAGCCCCCTTTCTAGTTTCATGTTGTTGTGTATAAAAAAAGTTTATGTAATTTTAGACCTTGGGCTCTTACTAAAAGCAAGGTTAGTGTATGACCACTGGTTGCAGTGGGCTGAGGATAAGGTTGTGTTTGATCATCTGTTTGTGTATTTTTGTTCAGAATTATTTTAAGCGGTTTGAATTTGTTCAGCACTGACTCACCTGCTTTCACTGATGTTGCTGAGAAAGCTGTAACGATGGGGGAAGCAGAGGAAGGGCAGCCCTCAGCATTGGTGATGTCATATGTCATCTTTTTAACAGTCCTTTTGATTTTGCGTGTCCAGAAGCTCCTTTTTGTCTGTCATTGTGCTGGGTGTTGCATGAACATTTGAAAGCAAAACCAAAAAGGGACAACTCATGCTTTTGTTTGTTAGTTCTGGTTTCAATAGGCACATCTGAGGTTTAAGCAGAGATTTTGTTTGGGGATTGGATTTTGGATCTCCTCTTCTTCCTTCCCTCTTGGGAAGCCAGCAAACAACTCAGGAAATAAAGGGAATAAGAATAAAAGGAGAATACTCATAAAAACATGCTTTGATTTGGCTTTTTTGTGGTAACATAATCTTAAACCTCCTCATGTGTGCCCAAAAATCACTGCTCTTTAAAGGAATAGGAATTCAATGTTTCTGTTCTGGTATCAAAGCAGCAATAGATGTGTGGGTTTGCTCTGAAAATACCATCGTGCCTCCCTGCATGGATCAGCTTTCTCCAGGGTTTATCCACCGACTTGGTTGTTTTCCTGTTTCTTGCTCTTTATGCTTGGTGCACTGTGAACTAGACTGTGTTCTTCCATGTGCATCAAAAAATTTGTTAATTCCTGTCTGAAATGTCCAAATCCACTGAAGACAATGACTGATAAAATGGAACGAGAAACCTCTCATACTGATGATGAGGAAGTAGAAAAGCTCTTTTTCTGAATTTGTTGGTGGTGGTTTTGGGGGTTTGGCTTGTTTTGTTCCTTGACACAGGTTGCTTGTTTTGGAAAGCCAATACTGTCATTTTGTAGTTTCTTATGGGATTCTGATTGTTGGTGGAGATGAAACGAGATAAAGCTGAAGTCTGGTATTTACTGACTTATCTGCCTGAATCCACCTTTTTTTCAACAGGGGAGCAGATGTGCTTGATTTGATTTTGTTGAGAGATGATTGATGAAACCCCTGTTATGAGTTATTAACGTGTTTACAGCAGTCTCTCCTGGGGTTTTTCTCCTGGTTTTCATACTTATGCACAAGTATTGAGTTCTCCAACAGTGGAAGCAGGATCAACCTAGGAGCTTAGCTGCACTGGCCAGCATGTGGTCCAGCCCACTGAAACCTGACTGGGAAGGTGCAAATTAAAGGGTTTAAGTTGGTACGTGCAGGATTCTGTGGTTGCTTACAGTGGTTGCTCCTATGTGAAGGAAACTGTGAGGTGAAAGTGGTGGCCTGCTGTATGCCTTATGACAAGTGTGGATGAGGGAAT